TTTTATCTTTTTGCAAGCACTGTGTGATTAGCAAGCAATGTAGATTGAAGTTTGCTAGAGCGATTACCAAAAGCAAACACATATTAGACTTGATTCACTCTTATGTGTGGGAATCACCAATATTATCACTCGAAAAAGAAAAATATTTTGTTTCATTCATTGATGATTATTCCCAGAGATTATGGGTATACCCTATTAAGGAGAAGTCAAATGAGTTTCTAATGTTCAAGGAATTCAAAAAACGAGTAGAGCTTGAAATTGGGAAAAAATTAAGTATTTGAGGATAGATGATGGAGGAGAATATGTAAATGGAGATTTTCTAGCATTCATTAAAAAGGTATTACAAGAGAATTTTTTGTTCCACATACACCTCAGCAGAATGATGTGGCAGAGTGAATGAACTAGACTCTCCTAGATAGAATAGGAGCTATGTTAAGTACAACAAGAGTCGTCAAGTCTTTATGGGCATAAATAATTAAAATCGTTTGTAATGTGATAAATCAATCACCATCAATAGCAATAGGTTTGAAGACACCAATGGAGATGTGAAATGGCAAACCAATTGATTATTCTTCCTTACATATATTTGGTTGTCCTGTGTCTACGAAGTACAACTCCTAAAAAAGAACAAAGTTGGATCCAAAATCCAGGAAATATATATTCTTGGGCTTTGCTGGATAATGTGACGTTTATGGGATCCCACTACCCACAAGGTTGTTGTTAGCAAGGATGTAGTTTTTGCAGAAAATGAACTGCAAAATGAGCATACAAATGATTACAAAGGACACTACCATAGTGCAAATAAAGAAGAATTCTTCTGATGATTTTGTCGATCTAGAACAAGAGCATGAAAAATAGGAGCCAAATGAGGTTGGTAATGGAGAACTCCAACGATTAACGCGAGAAAATATTAAATCATCTTGGCACTCACAATATGTTATGACAAGCCATGATGTGTGTTGTCTCCTTAAATGAAGAAGGAAAGCTTGCAACTTTTCAAGAGACGGTGAGTGGTTAAGATGTTTCATTGTGGATGACAATAATGAAAGAAGAAGTAAAGGCTCTTCACAAAAATAAGACATGGAAGCTTGTTGAACTTCCAAAAGGTTGGAAAGTTATTGGCTGCAAATGGGTCTATAAGATCAAACGATATAACAATGATCAAGTGGAACGATATCGTGCAATATTAGTAGTAAAGGGATATGTTTAGAAAGAGGACATTGATGAGTTCAGACCATTATACTTATTACAATAGGTTTGATGAGAATGATTTTATCATCATACTGTTATATTTGGATGACATGTTGATGGTAGGTCCCAACAAAGCTCAAATTCGAGAATTGAAGGTATAATTGTCTAGGAAGTATGATATGAAGGACTTGAGACAAGCAAACAAGATTTTAGGGATGAAAATTCACTGAGACAGGAAAGATATGAAGACTTGGCTTTCTTAAAAGAATTACTTACTGAAAATCTTACAGCACTTCAACATGCAAGATTGCAAGTTAATTTCTACCTCATTTCCTATCAATTTATCCTTAAGTATGAGCCCTAGCAATAAAGTAGGGAGGATGAAAATGTCTCGAATACCATATGCATCGGGAGCCTTACACTACTAGAAAACTAGTTTTTTTCTGCCAATTTTTTTGCAAAAAATTGTTTAAATTTATAGAAAGCTTATTTCTTGCAATTTTTCAAAAATTTTGCAAAAATATTCCTATGAAAAATGAGAATTTTTAGTAGTGTTATGTATGTTATGATTTGTATAAGATTAAACATTATTCGAGCAAGCAGTGAGAGTAGTTAGTAAATTCATGACAAATCTTGGTAGAGAACATTGTGGTGTTATTGAAAGGATTGTTAGATACATTAAAGGAACCTCAGATGTTGCATTATGTTTCAGAGGATCATAATTAGTTGTCAAAGACTATGTCGATTCAAATTTACAAGTAATCTTGATAAAAAGAGATCTACTACTAGTTATGTGTTAACTCTTGCAAGAGGGGTTGTAAGTTGGTTATCCAAGTTAGATGATATTATAGCCTTATCTATTATAGAAATTGAGTACATGGCAGCTACTGGAGCTTGCAATGAATCTATCTGGATTCAAAATGGAGGAACTCAAGCAAGAGAAGCAAAAGTGTGTTGTATATTTTGATAGTCAAAGTGGTTTGCACATTACAAAGAATCATGCTTTTCATTATAGGAAAAAACACATAGGTATACATTACCACATTGTTCGAGAAGTGGTAAAAGAAGGAAGTGTGAATATGCAAAAGATTCGCACTACTAAAAAACCTAACAGATGTTATGACAAAGCCAGTTAGTATTAATAAAATTTCTATGGGTTTGATCTTATTATGTCCTATTGGAAAACTAAACAATATGATGGAAAAGAATAAAGCATGGTGTAAAGATTTGATTAATTCTATCAAAATCTTCAATTGGAAAAATGTGAGAAGTGAAGTCCTATATTAAGGGAACTTATTTTGGTGCTTACTTTTCACAATATAAAAGCAACACAATATTTCTCTAGTAAAACACGTCAAAATTTCTTCCTTTATCTTTTTTATTACTTTAATGGTTCAAAGATAGTTAAGAGAGTTTCCTTCGAAGTTCTCCTTGTACTTAACTTTTTCTTGGTTTCATTTCTTGGTTTCAAGAGAATGTGTTATTGTATTTTCCTTGGAGTTAGAAAGAAAACTATGTAATTTTATTTCATTTAATAAAATTACATCATTATCTCTATTTTGTTTTTTAATTTTTTGTCTTTTATTTTAGTTGTAAATTATTTGCTTATACTCTAAATTTAATCTAATGATATTATAACAAATTTGAATTTGAAACAAATACTATATATTATATAAATATACGTGAGAAACATAATATACCCATTTGTTTTACATGAATGAATAGATTATATGTTTACATAGTTTGATTTATATGATGTGGGTGCATTCATTATGTTAGACTAGAGGATCATGGTTATTGGTTGTTGGGAGAATATAAATGCACTACAAGACGAAAGTAAATGATAAACATACAAGAAATTTACGTGATTTAATTAAAATGACTTATGTCCACGGTTGCAAAAATAAATCGATAAGAAAGATAACATAACCTATCTAAACGTGCATATGAAAATCCTACTTGAGGAAAGACGTGCAACAAAAGAGATTTGATATTTCTTTTAAGACACTGATCTTGCATAAAAGAGGAAAGATTGCATTTGGTCGCCTGAATGTTCAATTACTCAGTGATGAAGGCATGCAACGAAGAAGACTTGTAGAGTTATTGAGCAAGGGAGCATGGGAGATTGGGAGAGAATTTGGACTGAGGAGAGACATTTGGGCTTGCAGTATTTTTGTGGCCGAAAGAAGCAGTTTGTCCTTTTTTAGAAACATGTATGTTTTGTACATTTTTTTTTAATTATTTTGAAAAAAATTGTGGTGGTGACACTTGCATAAACTTGCTAGTTGTGTTACTTGGATTTATACATAGTTATAGACTATAGATATGACTTATAAATACATTTTTTTTCTACTTTAATAATTTAAAAATTAATTTACACTAAAACAATGCTTTTTCGCATGAAAAATGCTGATTTATTCTAACCTAGAAAGCAAGGTTTTGGCACATTGGGTAATTTAATTGAAAGACATTTATTTAAGATCACAAAATCACAATTTTGATAAAACATTTTATGGAAAAAATATTTATGTGTTCAGAAAACCCTTAAATGAAGCTAGAAATACATTCATGGAAAAATAAAATGAAATTTAATTTAATTTTCGTTAAAAAATATACTCAAAATAATTTATAGGTATGTTAATGTTAGAGGTTTCTACGACTGTAAATTTGTGTCTAAAGCATTGTATTGATCTTTTTTTTTTTCAAAACTACAAAAATAGATAATTTTAAAAAATTATAATAATAAATATATTATTAAAAAGTCATGTTTTAATTTTTTTTCATTTTTAACACACAAATTGTATTTCAATATATCACTTCACTTTTTTTAATTTTAATTTTTTTTGTCATTTAATAAAGTGGTGCTTTTATGCGTAATTTCAAAATTTTTTTAATATATTTGATTTTTTATATTATTTTGTAATAATAAAATTGTTAGAATAATAATAAATATTATAGCTATATAAAAAATAAAAAGCAGACATCGTTCAGAAGGGCATCACAGACACCTCATACGAATTATAACTTAAATAACTCTTTGCCTGCAGACCTTTCGAAACTTACTAACAGACAATCATAATTCTTAAGCTTTTTGCCCTTATGCACAATGCAACTCATAGGTTGTGGCAATTAAAGATATTAAAAGAAAAAAAATACTAAATTTATAAAAGATTCAAAAAAGGCAAAAATCAAATAAAATCAATCAAAAAGTTGAAGTCATTTTGACCCCTTATCAATTCTAAACTGCATGTCTGCTTGATATAGAAAAGGGGCATGTTTCTTAGATAGCACTTATAAGAACATATGCTGCACAAAAAAAGTTAACATGTCTATCATCATTTACTTTCAATAACACAAACCAAAGTTTAATATTGTCAAAACAACAGGGGGATCAGAATACTTGTTCTTCTTTATGCTGCATTGCTGCTTCATCAAGTCTTCTATTCTAAAACATTTGGAAGCTAAGATTATTTTGGTTATAGGGAATAGAAAATGGATAACTTGTACAAAGTTGAAGCCACAGGTAATGTGAAGCCTGTGCTGTTAATGATAGTGCTCCAGACACTATATGCAGTGGTGAATATCATGTTAAAGATGGTAGCAGATGGTGGAATGGGCTTAAGTGTTCTTGTTGCCTACCGATTCATCTTTGCTTCTGCCTTCATTGTTCCCGTTGCTCTCATCTTCGAAAGGTGGTTCTCTAATAAGTTTCCCCTTAAAGAGTTATATGCACATAACATATCATTAATGATAATTTGAATCTATCTACTTTTATTTTGGCATGTGTTTCACCAGGAAAAATCTGCAATATGTTACTGGGCAAGTTGTGTTCCAAGGTCTTCTCTGTGGGTTATTTGGGTAAAATTTCTGATGCCCTAGTTCATTTAATATGGAATCTAAGCAAGAAATGTAAGATGATGATTTAAAATACTTTCAGGGGATCCTTACTACAAAGTCTATACATTAAATCTTTGGCCTTGACATCTGCAGTATATGTTTCAGCCATGTTGAATCTCATCCCTGCTGTCACCTACTTCATGTCTGTTAGTCTCCGGTAGGCCCAATGTAACTTTGCATATGATGATGCTATTTCAACATATTTTTTTACAATTTTTTTTTTTCAATGGTGATTTTTAATTTTAAACAAATTTTTCCTAATCACCATTGTTGATATTGAATAGCATTTGACAATTTTGGGGATTACAATACATCTCCATCCCTGCTCAATTTTGGCAGTCTTGAGAAGTCAAATCTTGGAACAGCAGGTGGGATGGCCAAGTTGGTGGGAACTTTAACAGGAGTTGGTGGTGCCATGATCCTCACGTTCTACAAAGGAAGAAAGATATGCCTCTGGTCAACACAAATTTCCTTGTTGCACCATGCACCATCACCACATGGTGCCCCCACAGGTTCTCTCTTGTGGGGTTGCATACTAGCCTTTGGAGCCGCTTTGAGCTACTCAGTGTGGCTGATAATCCAGGTTCAACTCATTTAACTTTCTGATGATGTCACAAAAAATGTGTTGCAAGAATCAATAATTTAATGAGTTTGCACACACCAAGATAGAGCTTCAAATTACATTACCAAACCTTTAAATTTTCATGACATCATAGGATTTCTCCAAATTTAGACAACTTTTTTCTCCTAAACTCACTCAGTAATTGAATTTTGTAAGATAATCGCAGACAAGGATGAGCGCAAAGTTTCCGTGGCACTATTCAATTGCGGCTTTAACCTCTTCAACGGCCTCAATCCTGTCCGTTATATATGCTCTTTGTACCGAGAGAGATTGGAGCCAGTGGAAACTTGGTTGGGACTTTAGGCTTCTAACTGCAGCTTCTGCGGTATTCATTAAATATTTGCTTTTGCTGCTTTCTAACTACTCTCCATAGCCATGAGCAAACACTGTACAACCAAAATATTGCATGGTTAAAATGAAGTTAATGTATAATAGGTTGTCATATATTTTTTGTTTTGCAGGGAATCTTGGCCTCGGGAGTGTGTTACACCCTTTTAGCATGGTGTGTGCGCAGGAAGGGACCCTTATTTGCGTCTGCTTTTAGTCCTCTAATGCTGGTGATTGTGGCCCTTTCCGAGCAATTGGTATTACATGAATGTCTCAACGTTGGAAGGTGAATTCAGCTAATAAATTAGCTATGCAATCATATGTGAAGCTTCAACTTCATCTTTTGATTGTCAATGCCTTATGGTTTGTTTAAGTACTTTTGCAGTGTTATAGGATCAGTGTTGATTGTGGGGGGATTGTACCTGTTGTTGTGGGGCAAAAGCAAGGAAACAGAGACGAAGCGAAATGAGGTGTCCTCAGAAGACCTTGTTCAATGTGAAGCAATCCACGATACCAATCCATCTTTGGCATGCTGCCAAAGGGACGAACATCACAAGAACATCGTACCAAGTCTTCCTTCCTATACATCATCAACTGTCAACCATTCGTAAGTGAAAATTCAACAATTGAACCCACTAGGGTCAACCCAGTGGGAGAATTTCAGTAATTTGTAAGAGTTTCAAATGTTTGAGGTAGTTTGAAATACATTTTTTTTGTACATTTATTACTCTGTTTTATGGGAAAGCCTTCCAGAAATTCACATTTAAATGGGAGTATATGTCTACAATGGATATACTAAGGTGGAGGAAGAATGAGGCTAACAGAATTTAAGGTGTACGTTAATTAAGCCCAATTAAAAGTACAAAATGAATCCCAAGAACTTGGGCTAAAGGTCCAAACCAAAAGAGGTCCATGAACCCTCCCCCACCGTTTCAACCGCACCATTATCTTATAAATTGGTTTGGTGAATTCACTTTCTACCACTCTTTATCTTTCATCACTTTATCCTGTGAGTTTTCACACCTTCATTGTTTCTTCTCCAACAGCATTCTTTTTGTTACTCTTTTTTTTACTCAAAAACTTGTTTCCATCTAGATATTTTATCAAAAAGAAAAAGCAAAAACTAAAAAGGTGGGGAATGGGAAGATCAAACATTGATGTGTGAATATCACGGGCCACCAAAGAATCATCAATACTTGCTCACTTTCTCACGTTACCAATTTCCAAAATAGTTAATAGATGAAGGGGACATGCTTTCTATTAGGATTACCTCATAATTTCGACCACTATAAATAGAGTAAGTCTCTTTCAATACTCCACTAATTCATCACTGATTTCAGTTTTAGCATTTACTAATATCCGTTTCGATTTTGCAGAAAAAGTTGAGATAGTTCAGAAGAAAATCCTAATTGAATTGCCACTAGCCAAAATTGGGCATCAAATTGATTAAGCCACTGAAGTTATCATTCCTCACGGACATGCACATGAAAGTAATGATGTGGATATGATAAAGCATTTCAACATCAAAATGAAAATTTTTTGCAATTCCAAATGTTACTCTTCCATAATGATGAGTATAAAGGATTCACTAAATATGGTAGTTGGGCTAATTACAAACATGTAAAAATAATTAAAGAATCATTGAGTTCCCTTCCACAAGAGCTTTGGAAGTAGTTGCCAAAAAGGTTAGCTTTTATGACAAAGGCAGAAAGTATCACAAGTAGTCCATGTTAAAGAATGAAGATTCACTCATTTAGGAAATAATTAGTTTTAACATTTTATGTGTTGTTTTAATAGTGACCTTGACTTTATTTAGGGTTCTTAATGTAAGACTATAACAGTAGGGTTTTCAATGACAAATGTAATTGAGATTCTTTAACAAATAATTAATTTTTAACATGTCATCATTGTCTTTCTTATACGTGTTAAAAAATATATAAACAATTTGCAACATTTTTTTCTTTTTATCATTTCTAAATATAAACCTAGTAAAATTAATATGTCAAAAGTAAGCACAACATAAGTCTACAAGAGATAACATTGTCTTAAAATGCCTCAATGTTAACAAGGTTTTCACATATCTTAGAACACGATTTTCTGCCTCTTATTGTTTGACAGTTTTGATAGAAAAACGGCATTCTCAATCATATTATCTAAAACAATATAACAACAAGGGTATCATGGTAATTATTAAGAGTATGAAGATGGATTTAACCGTACCCCGTATTATTTAAAAAATCCACAAAAAGTAAATATGATATATATATATATATATATATATATATATATATATATATATATATATATATATATATATATATATATATATATAAATCACACAATTTCACTGAACGAACTTTCACGCCACGCAAACAAACTAAAGTATTGCACATAAAAGAGTTTTCTTGTGTCTCTTGTATTGCACACATACATACATATATAAAAGAGCTTTATTTCTTATTCAAAAAAAAAATTCCTTCCTCAAAATAAAGTTACCAGACCTTTCTAAGAAATAAATAAGGGTAGGACAACCCAAATACATTAGATTAATAAAATATATGAAGAGTAGTGGGTGACCTAAAGCGAATTAACCTACAAATTCACAAAATATTAAGCACTTTCATGATAGACTGACTACATACATAATCATAGACAAAAAAAATCACCTGATAAAGAGTAAGAAAGATATTAATAGTAAATATTAACGATAACTTATATACTTATTAATATCTCTATCATCTTCAATATACATTATACATTATACATTTTTTATGATAGATTTTGAAAAATAATTCAAAAATTTCACAATTAATATTTTAGGCGTGTCTCTTTTTTAAAGATAAATTACCTTTTTAAGATGAATCACTTTATAATTTGTAATTTTCTTTTTAACTAACAATAAAGAAATTTTTAATTTAGTTAATATTTCAATTAAACTTGAAACACAATCACAATAATCAAAATTTCATTCAATAATTAATATGAAGTCAACTTTTACTAGTATCTTTCAATATTAATTTGATGAAAGTATTTATAAAATTTTCTTGATTATAAATTTTGATTTTTAATATTAATTTAAACATTAAAGTATGAAAATATAAATGATAAAAAATGTAAATATGTAAAAAGTATAAATGTGCAAGAAATATAAATGTACAATAAAGATAAATATGCAAGAAGTGTAAATGTACGATAAAAATAAATGAACAAGAAGTGTAAATATATAAGAAGTATAAATGTGTGAGAAAAATAAATACAAAAAAAATAATTATACAAGAAGAGTAAATTAAAAAGAATAAACAGAAAGTAATAAAGAAAATTATTTTTTCTTATCGATGATAGTCTCTTACTGCCTTAATACAATTTGTTATCACTAGTTACACTTATTTAATTTTATTTATATTGTATTTTGTGTAACTATTAAGAAAAAAAATAGTTTATTTTCTATTAACCATTTTTTCCTCTTTTTTTAGTCATTATATTGTTATAGATAGCATTTGTAATCGTCTCTGTCATGTCATGAAATTATAAATGTCTTTGTCACGTTATGAAATTACAATCACATATTTCTCGATTCTATAATTCATTTTCCATATCTTTTTTTTCTTTCTTGATTCTCTAAGTCTTTGATTTATCGCTCCTGTCTTTCTCTCAATTTTTCTTATGATCAATATGAATCTCGTTGATCTTATTCTCGATTTTTCTTTTGATTATTGTGAATCCTGAATTTCGATTCTTCGATTTTCATTTTGATCATTATGAATTTTCAATTTTCTTGTTCTTTGATTTTCTCTAACCACATTATCTTCTCTTTGATTTCTCATTTGATCACTTATTTTCATCAATTTCTTTTTCTCAAATCTCTATTAACTCTTCAATATCTTTCTTAGTTTTCATTTTTCAAACATTCTTGATCTTCACCATCTGGATCATCGATTCTTATCTTTTAACTTCAATATTTTTTTAAATCATTCTTTCAATATATTTATAAATTTGTTTGTAAGACGTAAATAAAGAAAATAATAACACCTTGATAATAAAATAAAAATATATTAATAGTAAATAACTATGACATTATATATTTATTAATACTCCTACTGAGAGAAAATATTTGCAGTATTCAATTATGAATAAAAAAATATTTGAATAAGTATCACTCTAGTTATAAATTCTTGACTGGAATAAATAAATAGTTGAATAAATAAATTGATATATTTATTCTGAGTAAAATGAATTGAAATTTATAAAAAAATAAACAGTTATTTATGTCAAACAAATAAAAACATATTTCAACTTAAATAAACATGTTTTAACGAAAATAAATTTATATATAATGATTATCATATTATAATCAAATCTTATTGTGCTAATGAATTTTATGTTTATTGATTGATTGACGTGTGTTGTTTAATTAAAGATTGACAATCATGCTTTCATGTTTCAAGATTTCTTGACACACAATCTTGATTTTGAACAAAATCTTTATTTTTTTAACAATTTTAAAATCTATTTTCTTTAATCTATTATTGTAACAAAATTGTTTTGAAATTTTCTAAATATAGTTAGCATAGCATTTGTAATAAAAAAGTGAAAAAAAAATGAATATAAACTATAATTGTATAATGTGTTGTAAAAATATACAAGTATCTTCATATTAAGAAACACTATTTGAATTATATTTTAAATATATATATATATATATATATATATATATATATATATATATATATATATATATATATATATATATGCGAATAATTGTGAAAATTGGATTAATATTAATGGACACATATCCGTATAACGTGTTTTTAATAATCGGTCTTACACTTATTCTTAGTATTTTAATTATTTTTAACTTCCTAGTTTTAAACGTGTTTTTAATAATCGGTCTTACACTTATTCTTAGTATTTTAATTATTTTTAACTTCCTAGTTTTAAAAATAACTTTGTCAAAATATTGTGAGAAAAAACTTTAACGAAGACTCAAGAAGCTGATATTTAGTACATTTCATAATGTTGAATTAGAAGCAATAAATAGATCGCAGCGTGATTATTACATAACATAAAATTTAGTTCCTTCTTGATGCCAAAATTTGTTAAAAAATAAGTAAAGCCGCATAATTTCACTGCAAGTACTTGCAACAACTTTGTATTCAGATTCTAATGAAGATTTGTTTTATAAAACATTTGAAATCTAAGAAACATATTTGAATTTTGTTGACAGTAACCAGTTGGTTGTTTATTCATGTAATTTTTCATTTCCAGGTTTTATTAATTCATTATTATCTTCCTTTACTTTTAGAAAATATTTTACTTTGTTATTTTTATTTTAGTCAATTAGTAAAATATGGCAAATGATTCAATAGTTGAAAAGAAAATGGAGAAAATTAGAAAAAATGATTCAATTTCAATAAAGAGTGTAATGTGTGCAACATCATATGAAAATGCCTTCTTTTAGTAAAAATATAAAAATCAGTATTATCTCTTAAATCAAAATAAAATATTGAAATTAAAATATTTACTTTAATGGTGACGATATTTTGCTGTTACTCAACCACTTAAGAATACATAAACCTAAGGATGAGTTTTCTTTTTATTGAAGATTAAGATTAAAAAACTCATTCTAGAATAATACACTCCTTTTCTCTCTCTCTTGAGCATGCATTCCACACCTTTTCATTGGCAAATAAAATAGGATGGGCTACAATTATTTTTCCATTTCCATACAATTTTCAATAAAAAGAGTTTAGTTTTTCAGTTGTCCCTAACGTCACGTTCAAGAATCCAATTTAATAATGTTCACTCAGCCACGAAAAAAGGAAATTAAAAAGAGAGAGAGGGAGTAATGAATGATATTTTAGTATAGTGATTGTCAGACACCATTTCTCCACGTACAAATGTTTCCATCCACACAATTCATAACTTGTGTGAACATTTGAACATGAAGTATAAGAACAAACGATAAAATATATTAAAAGAGTGAGAATGAAATTCACAGGCATGAATAAGTGTGTTCTTCTCTGATCTCATCATCCTCTGTCTTCAAATGATTGCGTACAAAATCCTGCATTAACCAACACGTTGATAAATACCAACCAAAATATTTATCGTTTTCTGATCCTCTATATATATATATATATATATATATATATATATATATATATA